TTGCTTTCTGTCCCTCCAGCTGCTCAGATCCCTACCCATCCTACATGGGTTGTACACTAAATCCCCAACAGGGAAGGAACAAAGTACACAGGATTTAGAGAGGGAATTGAAAAATGCCTTCCTGTGTATTTAGAACTCCAAAACTTTCAACTCACTGACCGTTTGCCCCAGCTCCCCAAGTTCTTGCCCCTTTCCCCTCCCTTGAAAGCCCCACACAACCCAATGGAGCTGGGAAAGATGTTTAAGAGGATTAAGCCCATCCCTGACATAGGAGCAAAGCAACCTCCTCCTCTGAAACAGGATCAGTGGTTTGTGTTGGGGGGAAAATAAGAATGAGAAGCATCACCTGCAGGCAGCAGCCACAGGGGATCATCTGAGATAGAATGGAGAAGTCATCAAAATCATAAGCAACTGGAAATGATTTCCAAAGAGACAAGATCAAGCAGCCTTAATTAAACTTATTGGTACCCAAGCTGCTTATTTTAGATAGAAATATTCCCAGGATATAAGCTTTACATATGAATGACATGGAGGATTCTCTTGAAAAAGGCCATGAGATCCAGCATCAAGATGGAAAGGCAGGGGGAGGGCAGGGGGAAAAGCCAGGGGGAGGGCAATGCCAGCCCAGAGCCTCCAAATGCTGCCATGCCCACCACTAGCTCAAGCCCTCCTTGGCCACGCCAGGGACAAGGACTTCAGCCCAACATTCCTCATCTCCAGCACCATCTCCAGCTGGGCTGTGCTGCTGCCCACCCACTGGTTTCCCTGTTCTCACAACCAGGACTGATTTCCTCCTGCTGAGCTGCTGGAAAGCTCTTCCAGATGGATGGTCATGGTGGGAGGTCCTGGCAAGTGGTCCCACTCCTTACAGACTCACCATCCTCTTCCACTAAGGATTCAACTTCATTTACCAGAGTTAAACCCACGAAGACAAGACTGGCAACATCAGTGCCTTCCAGACAATTACTAGGTGAGATGGCACATTGGCCATGAAACATGAACAGCCCCATAACCCACAGGGCTTCAGACAACACCTTCTAGACACCCATTTAGGGCTGGAAGAGGGGACAGGACCCTAGATGTTGGCAGGAACACTCCTACATGGATGGCACTTGGGTTGCTCTAAATTATTCTGAGGATGTTTCAATGCAGTTTAACTTCCCAAATAAAAATAAACCAGTATTTTGCTCCTTTCTGATACAAACTACGCACTTAATAAAGAGCCATGAAGGCTACAGAGTCTTAGGAAACAAGTGTTCACTACCAAACACCCATTGTGTTGGTAACACAAATGATGGATATTAAGGCTGATGGAAAACAATGACCTTTTTTTTTTTTCTGGTTTTCTTAGATTTCAAAGAAAATCAAATCCACAATCAGAGAAGACAACCATCAATTGTTTCAAAGCCTTGAAAAATGGGGAAGGAAAGGTCAGGCTTTTGCATTTTCAGAGCTTTTCTGGTTTAGAAATAAAAGGACTTCTAAGCTTGGCTATTCATCATCTACAGCAAGTCTTTCTATCTGCAAAATAAATTCCCCTCCTCCACCCACGGAAAGGGAAAATATTCAGATGCCTCATGAATAAAAAGAACAAGAAGGCATTTTTTCCTGTTTGCCAAAGGAGATTTGTGTTTACCCAGAGCAAAGATGTTCCTACAGTAAATACCAGCCCAGGTATTTAATCCCAGACACTCAGGGGGGTAAGGCACACAGCTCTGCTTAAGCAGGACCCTGGAAGCTGTTGCTTTTTCCAACTACCTTCTTCCTCCAATATTTAAACATCAAAATGCTGGTTTTCTTCCCCAAACATCAGGCAGGGAACTGTTCTGCCACTGGTTCAATGCTGTCAAGCAACTGTGAGCACACACAGGTATTGGGCAGCAGGATCTTTTTTGGAGGAGCAGCCCAGGATATGATGCTTGAGGAGTCAGGGGGAGGTCAAAAAGGGCTTTTTCAGCTGGAGGAAAACAGGAGAAAGCAGGCACGAGGGGAAAAATAATAGGAAAATATTGGGGATCACACTAATTCTACTCTCTTCTGAAAATTAAAAGTATTAAGCTTTTACTAGACTCTGGTTCTACCTCTTGCACCCCAGCAAAGGTGAGATGACAGAAATTATTTTCTCTGCTAGAAAATGAAGATTCAAACTGTTTCCTGGATAGAGTAACTGATGAATTAGGGTCCTTCATGAGCACCATGAACCCTTGTCTCCCCCAGCCAGCTCCCCCCAGCCTAGAGCCCACCTCATGCAGAGCAGAGGGGGAGCTGGCCACAAACCAGAGCAATTCTTTTGACTTAACACCCACTACTTTAAATCTCTCTTCTCATCCTACCCCATAACCTGGATGAATCTTGCAAGAACTTTGCATCAAATGGGGTTTGGGCAAAGAACTGCCTGTTATTTGAGAGGACTGTCCTACAGGCAGACATAAATATCATCTCCTTAAGACACTGAGCTACCAAAATCCAAGTGAAACAAGAATTAAGTCCCCAGCTGCAGAAACATATCACTTATTAACTCAGACATTGTGTTTGACAAGCAGGATAAACAGCACAATAAAAACAGGGCCCAGGCAATGCTGCTCCAGCAGGGATAGCTTTACAACACAATTAAATCAATTGCTGTGCTAAAAGGGACACTCACTGCCATGCAAATCACCTAAGGGCTTGAGAAATGTTAATACACTCACAATATATTAAGATACTAAAAGTTAATAAATTATATATACACAAACACCATATATAGTATACACATACAGAATATATAAAAATATATATAGATATAAACTACATGTTATATTGATGCTTATTCATACATGACATTGAGAAATAATAATTTTTAAAATGTAATGGAAGAAGACAAAGGTCAAGATTGAGTGCTGGGAAAGACTGTGCCAGGATCCTGCAGCAATTCCCAAATCTGGGACTGGGGCTACAGGTGCAACAAAAAGCTGCTTGGACACTAGTGGCAACTGCAATGATCCCCAGAAACCACAATCCCCCAGGACTAGGAAATGGGGGGAATCACAGCCCTAGGAAGCTAATTCCTGAGAGAGGATTTCTTGGCAAAACCATCAGTATCCTGAGTCTAAAAGTGGAAAAGCAGAACTCAGTGGCCTTGGTTCTACTCTGCTGTGTATAAATGAGGAGCAGTTCCATGGAGAGTGATCTTCCCCAAACCAGAGCCCACCACAAGGGAAGGAGAATTGGTTCATTCAAGTTAGGGCAGGAACTTGTTGCATTTACTTCTAGCAATGAACTTGTTATCAAACCCTGGCTTTTCTTCCTTGCTTCTTGCTTCTAGGATGTAGTTAACCATTTTAAAACATTATTTAAAGAATGTGGGACAGAAGTGTTGCATTATTCACAGCCCTGTATCAAAAGAAAAATGGCAGGAAATCTTGACATGAAGAAATTATTTTCCCCCCCCCCACCTCAAATTGTGCCCAGTCACTTCTACCCAACCCTTGGTACAGCAGAGAAGATAAAAATCAAGTTAATGCTGCTTTGATACATTAGACAACTAAATATAAACCATGTAATGTGGCTTTTCTTTTGGTTTATGGTATGTTTTATGAAGGATAAACCCAGAGGGAACAACAAGGGTAATTTCAAGCAGATTAGGAGCCATATCCCAGCTGGGATGACTGGGCTGTCTTACCATCTCTTCAACCCCCAAGATTTACACAGAGTTACCCCCAAAGCTGCTGCTTTTGTGCCTCATTTCTTCAGTCATGTTTGTCAGGATTTTTTTTTCCCCCTATCATGAAACTTTAAGTGTCCCTGGAAGTTTCATTGACTTGATTCTTTCCTTAACTTGCTCAGGAGCTTCATGATGGTTAAGTAAGCCAAGCAAACAAAACCTTCTCAGTCTGGTTAGGCCCAGGGTTTTGAGAAAGGCAGATTTAACTCCCAGCATATTGAGATAATAGGGCTTTTCTCTCTCAATCTGAGCACTTCTCCAGCAGTAAAGGGAAGAAAAAAACTCATCCATGAATATGCAATTATTCTGATTTTTTTGAGCACACAATTTATCTGTCTACTAAATAAAAAGGCAAAGAAACAACAATGTCCTAGCAAAGTTGGGGGGGGAAATCAACTTAAATGTCATTGTTTAAAATCAATGGCAGAGGTGAAGACTTGTCTTTAAACACAATTATTATGATTGCTCATGATGGCAAGGCAAGGAGGAGCAAAACCAGTAAGGACTGTACTAAACCAGTGTTGTACTCAGGGATTGGCTGCAGTTAAATCACACAGGGCTGGGTTTGGAAAAGTTTTATGAACAGTTTCTGTACTATTTAATTCCATGCAATTCTCCAGGCCCAGAACAGGTCACTGTGTGAATAACCAGTGGTCAAGCTGCCTCTCATATTTTTATATTCATCTCCCACATTCCCTTCCTGGGCAAGACGGGGTTTGGTGCTTTTTGGGCAGTTTGGAGGTTTTTAGGGTAGGGTGGTGGGTTCTCCTGGTTGGTTTAATTGGTTGGTTGCAGTTTGTATGGGTTGGGTGGTTGGGGGTGGCAGAGTTTGATTTGTTCTTCTGAAGTAAAAGCTCCTTCAAAGCCAGACACTAAGGAGAGAGTTACAGCCAGGTAACAGCCCAGCTCCATCTGGACCATCAAGTATCTCAACATGTTTTACATGTCCCCTCTCTGCTTAACTCCTATGGAAATAGTTTTTCCATGAGGCCTCCAGGCATGATAGTACCTTTACCACATGTCCTATCAAATCTGAAAGGAGACAAGCTTTCCACATCCCCCCTTCTCCACCAGTGGTGCAGGGGCTGGAGAAGGTGGTTTCCCTTCTGCAGGAAACTGGAGAAATCCAATTAAAACTACACAAGCTCTGTTCAAAACTCATTTCTCACCCAGCCCATCTTGCCCCACATCACTCAACCCTAACTGGGAAGCTGTTTTGGAGAGAAAAACCTGGATATTGGCACCAGGAGTCTCCCAGGCTCTGAACTCATTAGCTCTCAAAATTAAAAGCACTTACCTCTTCAAGGACATCTGCAAGCTTACTAAGGATCTCCTCAGGAAGGCTCTGGAATGTGGGAACACTGCAAGACAAGAGAAACCAGGATTAATGGATCCCTCTACCTACTATTTTAGTAAATCCACCTGCATTTCTCTAACCTCTGTTCTCATCATTTGGGGATGAACAAGTGTTCACCAGAAAACCAGAGTGACACTCTGGCCTTCTAGCAGCCAAGATACATCTTTTTGTTACCTGGAGAACCACCCATAGAGTTGGTCATCAACCTAAAATCACTTAAGGATTTACTGGACTTCATCTGTGCCACAAACCTGCTCAGTCCCATGGATGACTGTGCAAATTGTTCTCTGCTTCCCTTTCCCCCCCCCCCCTCAAAAAAAAGAGGGAGAAAAGATCTGACCAGCAGCAGATAAAAGATGGACTGAAACCACACAAAGACAAAAGGAATTAAGAGCATGAAGCTGCTGAGGGAAAGGGGTTGGCAACATGCCAGCACTCAAGATTTCATTGGGGATTTTACATCCAAGTTTGGTTTCTTTTGCCAAAAAGGCAACTTTTGCTCATTTCATAGAAGCATCATTTCATAGACTGGTTTGGGTTAGAAGGGACTTTTGAGATCATCCAGTCCCAACCCCCTGCATGGGCAGGGACACCTCCCACCAACCCAGGCTGCTCCAAGCCCCATCCAACCTGCCCTTCAACACTGCCAGGGATGGGGCAGCCACAGCTTCCCTGGGCAGCCTGGGCCAGGCTCTCACCACCCTCACAGCAAAGAATTTCCTTCTAATGTCTAAACTGAATCTCCCCTCTTCCAGTTTTAAACCACCCCCTCTCATCCCATCCCTCCCTGTCCTTGTCCCAAGCCCCTCCCCAGCTTTCCTGGAGCCCCTTCAGGCACTGGAAGGTGCTCTAAGGTTTCCCTGGAGCCTTCTCTTCTCCAGGCTGAACACCCCAACTCTCCCAGCCTGGCTCCAGAGCAGAGCTGCTCCAGCCCTCAGATCACTTTCAAAGGCTCCTCTGGACTTGCTCCATGAGCTCCACGTCCCTCCTGAATTACAGGCTCCAGAACTGGGCACAGTACTCCAGGTGGAATATCCCCAAAGTGGAGCAGAGTGGGACAATCTTCTCCCTGATCCTGCTGGTGATGCAGCTCAGGACAAGGGTGGTTTCTGGGCACCAGCACATGGTGTCAGCCCATGCTGAGCTTCTTGTCCACCATCATCCCCAAGTTCACCTGCCCAGAGCTGTTTTTGATGTATTTTCCACCCAACCTGTATTTACTTCACTGCATTACCCTGGGCAAGTGTCTCCCAAGCTGGGCTGGACCTGCTAGTGAAGGTGAGAGGATGATGCAACAATAAAGACCCACCAGCCCAGAGTCCAGCAGACTGAGATTTAATTCAGTCTGGAGCAGGATGAGGGACACAATTTTGGGTCTTCAAATCTCCTGCAAGTAAATCTAGACTTGAAGGTGCATCTCCAGGTTGCCCAGCGAGGTTTCTAGAGTTTCCCTCCTCAGAATATCCAAAAGCCACCTGACCATGGTCCTGGGAAACCAGCTCTGGATGGTCCTTCTTGAGCAGAAGGGTTGGATCAGGTGATCTCCAGTGGACCCTGACAACCTCAACAGTCTGATTCTGCAATCCCTTAGTCTCTCATTCTTCATTTTCCATAGGAACATGGTGTTCCTCAAACTCCCAAGTGACACTAAATGCCTCGACTTCAGGACCATTGATGATCAGGTGCAAAGGGAGCAGGAGGAGGGAGGGGGCTGCTGGCAGGAGTTCCCTGCTCAGAGGTGAATATTACCCCAAACTAATTCTGTTTTCCCTTCCACATCAGGTTTTGCTTCTTACTTTAGATCATGGAACTGCCTAAAAGTTACTCTCCACATTTTGGGAAGCTCAAAACCCCAGCCCAAACACAGCCCTTTTTTGTTTCCCTGAACTCTGGAGAGCAAGTCCTGGCATATGCCTTTGGGGTCACCACCCCACCCATGTCTCATGAGCCCCAAACACTTTCTGGATGCCCAAATTCAGTGGCTGCTTCTGCACTCAGAGAAACCCCACCCAACAAAGCAAAGGGAGGTCTGGAAGACCTTGCAAAGAGCTTGAGGGCAAACCCCAGGGACTGGTCTGAACCAAACTTCATTTGTGGGCACAACTAAAGCAGAAATTGCTTTTAGTAGCTTAAACATATGCTATGTTTGCTGTGTTGCAGCGAATCAGAATGTTTGGGGGGGAGACAAAACAAAACATCATCTCAGTTAATGAGTTAACTGGTAACAAGCCAGAACTGGCCAACTAAGCCCATAAAGTCTGATTGTTCGTGCTGTCACCAGCACCTGGCTCTCCTTAGGCAGCAGAAACACACAGGTCCACCAGAACAAAAAAACCAAATTCCTAAAAAGAGATTTTCATGATGTCTGGGCCTCAGCATAAAATGGAAGCTCATTACAGCAGCTCCAGCATTCCCAAATGAGGATGTGATGGGAAGAGGTAATACCCCCAGACATCTGGACCAATGTCACTGTTGTTGCACTATTTACACTCCCAGACTGGGGGAGAATACATCACAGCATCATGTTTTTACAGATGATGTTTCATGTACAATACAAGGGCGGGTAGAAAAGGCATCTGTGACAGCCCAACTGTGTGAGGAACAGAAACAACATCTGAGCTCTGAACAAATCCTCCTCTTCTTGTGGAAAACTCAGGATATTAAGCAAACAAGGAAAATTTCCTATGAGAAACGCTCACAACTTTACCAGAGTGAGAAAATCAAGTTGTCAACAAAACAAGCTCCAACTGTGTCACTGAGGGACACAAATAATATCACAGATTGAGGCAACTAATATCACAGATTGATTGTGGTTTCTTATGGGCCAAGTATCCTCCCAAATAGCTACAGGTGACAAAGCAGCCACGTTATTATTTGAGTCCCATATAAAGAGGCCTTGCATGACTACCCACCCCTTCTTAACCAAAAAAACTCCTGTAGTCAACAAATGCTTTCATAAAAGAAAACACTTACTGACCTGTTAAAAGATGTCACCAACTCAGGTCAAGACAGCTGATGGAAGAACAAGCACTGAATGCTGGTTGACCCTCCAGGTCAATAAAAACAGCCCCTCACTCTCTGTGACAACATTGCACAGATTCCTAAAACAGATTGTTCCCCCCCCCCAACCTGCCTGTATTATTTAAATACTTGCATGCCAAGGCCAACATTTTGCAGATTTCCATGGGGGTGTTTTCACTTAAAGGAAAATGGAGCTTCAGCATTAAAGGGAGAGCTGAGAGGACAAGAGCTGAGCATCAAGTGGGAAACCATGGGCTGGGAAGCCAACCAGGAGCAGAAGAGCCAGGGGAAATCTTTCAAGGTGTTGCAGCATAAGAGAAAAACCCAATTCAGTTCTCCACCACTTTGTGAAATTTGAAAATACATCTAAGAGACCATTCAGAGCTTGAGGGCAGGTGTGCTCACTACCAACAAGAGAAGAAACCCCAGCAACTGCAGCTTCATCTTCCCAAGAAATGATCTGCTCTGTCCCTAACACAGCAGGATCAAGCAAAACCATCTTTCTCTGACAAATTCTTCCCCAAACACCTCTTAAAATTTTAATGAAGATCTTAAAGCATCCATCTATTCTAGGTGGTAGGAACTGCTACAGACAACAAATAAGTATTCTGGGGCCTAAATCTGAAGCCTTTCCACAAAGTTTAAAACTCATGACACTTATTCCTACCGGAACCACACATGAAGGATTCCATCCACTTCTCTTCCATCCCTCACTTTGCTTAGGAACTGCACCTGCCAGCAGACTCAGCCCACCAGCTTGCTCAGCTCTTCTTCCTGAGCTGGGCTTCCTAATAGCCGCCTTACCCAAGCCCCTTGTGAATCTTCTCCAGCTGCTTCTTATTCCATATAATAAGGAGAAATTTCTCCACCTGACCTGATTAGGCTACTGACAAGTTGCCCTGAAAGGGAAAGATCTGGATTCCAACACACGCATGCTAAGGTGGGAACCCTGTTTTGTTCATCTAGGTGAACACCTTGGTCACTCTTGGCCCAGAGGGAAGATACTTTCTCTGCTGCCTAATCCTTCCCCCAGATTTTGAGAGGCTCCAGCTCTGCTGCTCTTCCCCCACAAAGCAGAGAGCTGGAGGGTGATCAGGACTCCACCACCCAAAGCCTCTAACACTGATTAGTCAGAAAGCCCCACCCCTGTGTGACGAGGATATGGGATAAAGCTGGGTATGGAATGGAGACCCTTCTACAGCTGACATTCTACTCACCTGCAGCCACCACCCTCTGCACCCCAAGTTAGTTATGGGGATATGGGTGTTAAAAAGAATTTCTCCCAAACTACTTCTGTTTTCCCTGTCCCCACTGCAGAAGCCCAGTCCAAGGTCCACAAAAGGAGATGCCTCCAGGCCACGTTCTGAAGGTGCTGGTAGCACACAACAAGAGAAATCAGATCCAGCACTTCTGGAAATTAAGTGTTACAGCAAATGCAAATAAACCTGATTATCTTCTGAAATTGACCCACACACATCACCATGTTTTCTCACAAAAGATGGGACTGCCATCATGGGTGACAGTGTGAGGAGCAACCTCTGACCTTCTCCAGTCTCCCTGCCCCAAATCTCATTGGAATCATAGAATCACAGGGGTTGGAAGGGACCTCTGAAGATCATCCAGTCCAACCCCTCTGCTGCAGCAGGAACACCCAGAGCACATCACACAGGAAAACAGCCAGACAGGTCTGGAAAGTCTCCAGAGAAGGAGCCTCCACAACCTCTCTGGGCAGCCTGTCCCAGGGCTCTTGCTTATGCTGGCAAGCAGAAGTGGCTTGTTGCTGCCCATCTGCCACATGATTTAGCTGTGGAATATTTTGTAGGTGATGGCAGCCCACCTGGCTAGTGAGGACACCATGGGGAACTGGTTGGTGTCTGCAGGAACAGCACAGCAGCTCCTCTGGGTGGTTCTGGAAGTGACAGGTTTTCCCACAGAGCTCACCGAGCTGAACAGAGGCTGCCAAAAGAGGGGAAACCAGCTGTG